TGTCTAAATGGTTACTAAGAAAGGTAAGGAAAGGAGATAAAAACCCTAGAATTGTTTAACACCATCTTCTTCTCGAACATGCTAAGTGTAATACTTTTGTGCTGTACAAGAAAAGCACACGTACAAGACTAGGAACGCATCTAGAATATTCAATGGGTTTGATAACACAACTGATTGAGGTTTCCTACAAAGATAAAAGTGTGTCAAGAGAAAGACCTTCAATGCTTTCAAACCCACTTAGACTTACAGTTCGACATTTTCCATAAGTTGTTCCTGTCATAGGCAAATAAGCTCTGTTGTGTGCAGTAAGACGAAGGATGTATCCGGAAAGAAGTTGAGGCACAAATCAAGGTACTACTGTCCTAATTGCGATGTGGAACTTTGTTTGATGCCCTGATTCAAGACGTATCATACGGTAATTAACTTTTAGTTTCCCTTGCATGCATGTCTTATTCTTTACGCTACAATGCAACTGTAAGCTTTTCTGAATAAATACTTTTCCATGGCGTGCATAATGACTTTTATTGTCTAGTTTGCTGGGAATGATTCAGCAGAAAGTTTTGAGCCAAAATTAAAGTTTAATTAAACTACATATTAGTACGAAAGTGCAGTGATTGCTTTTTTTTAAACCCAATTAAATAATTGGGTTCTATATATATATATATATATATATATATATATATATATATATATATATATATATATAGTTATCAGAAAGTCTAATTTATCGGCTCATTCCATGTGTACGTTGTAAAGCCGAATTACATCAGGGCTTGAAATTTTTATATATTTGTTATTAATTCTGCTCCACATTTTGTACAAATCTTTATTCCAATAATTACAAAACTTCAAGCCATCACAATAACTTTATTACCATGTCATTTGTTCATTATAACTTCTCCACTACCGCTTAATAATTCTTCAGAACTACCCCGAGCATTCTATTTCAATACACCGTCGCTGAAAAAAGGCGGATTTTGAAAACCATTAATTTGAATTGTATCAGCAGCATAGACATATTGGTGCCATACATACTGTAAAATTTTACAAGTACTAATCCATCAATAAGTTTCCGATATAATAACAAAAAACTATTTTTTTTGGCACAATTTAATAAATGTTGATTACTTTTGCAATAATCTCCATAAGTAACATATAACACCTTGATAATAAAGTTATTATGTGTCTATATAAGTGTGCAGAATGTCAAATAGATCGGTTTGTTAGTTAACGAGTTATTGTTAACTATTGTTAAATATTTATCCCAGATATTAAAAGTTTAAACACTTAGTGCTGCTTTCAGCATACTTCTGTTGTTATTTAACCAATGGGTTCTTGAATATTAAAACTACAAATAAAAGTGAAAAAATTAAATTGTTTATACTTACAAAAAACGTGTTTAAATAAGCTATTAAAAAAAAGGTGTATTTTTCCTAATAAACAAATAGAATAACTTTATAATTGTTATGGTACATTATTGATTAATTGATTGATACACATATTTGAAGAAGGGTGATGAAGACTGATTAAACCACTCACGTAAGTTACGAAGCCATGATATTCTTCTTTGACCAAGACCCTCTTTCCACATATTTTAATAAATAATAAGACGGGTGACGTCATAATCATATCGTTCTGGGTCTGGTAAAATTATGCCACCTAGATTATGTGTAGTAGCCTTCGATGTCAGTTCAAAGACAACTGAACGAAAATTTAATTTAGAAAAATATTGGTGAAAACGTCGATGAGTGCTTAAATAAAATCGTAACAACAGTAAAAGAAATCTGTGTGAGAAATTTACAAGGCAGGTCAAAGGTTAAAAAGCAGGCTTGGATGACAGATGACATATTGGATTTGGTGGAACAACGGCGACTAGGGAAAAACAACGAAACACTTTACAACAGTATACAAAAAGAAATTCGATGTAAAATACGAGAAGCAAAGAGTCAACATCTAGCCAAACAGTGTCATGACATTGAAGAACTTGAAAAAAGATACGACACGTTTAACATGTATAAAAAAGTTAAAGAAGCGGCTGGTATCTTCAATAAGAAACAAACTGCATTACTACAGGATAAACATGGTAAAATAATATTTGAAGTAGAGGACAAACTTAAAGAATAGGAAAATTACGTTACGAACCTATTCGAAGACGATAGGAGTAGTTCACCTCCCGATATTACTAACTGCGACGGACCATTATAAACCCAATCTGAGGTTATAAAAGCCATACAGTCAGCAAAATATGGCAGAGCGACTGGTCCTGATGAAATTTAAACTGAAATATACCAGCTAAATGATAGCAATCTTTTAGAGGCTATAACTTCGTTTTTCAATACCATTTATACCAGCGGACAATTACCTAATGGTTGGTCTAATTCACTGTTTATCAGTGGCGCACCCATGACCCCATTCCGACACTGTTATTCACAAATTTTAAGTACTTAAAATGGTGGAGGTAGCATAAAAAAATTTCGGTGCCCCCCCCCCCAGAGGAAAATTCTAGGTGCGCTACTGCTGTTTACAGTGAGGAATACCTGGATGACACTCAGTTTGGTTTTCGTAACGGATTTGGAACGACAGATGCACTGTTAGGATTGAACGTACTTATACTCAAAGATGTCGAGATATATCTGTAGACATACACTGTTGTTTTATTGACTTCCAAAAGGCATTTGATTGTGTTAAGCACTCTATATTGATGGAAGCTCTAAAATACATTAGATTGGACGGCAGAGATGTTCGAATAATTCCAAATTTATATTGGAATCAAACAACATCAGTTTTAGTAGATGGTGTGGAATCGTGTGGAATCACAGACTATCGATATTTAAAGAGGAGTACGGCAGGGATGCCTCTTGTCACCCCTGCGTTTCAACGTTTACTTCGAAAGAATTTTCAGAAAGCCACCAAAACAAGGAATACTTGTGAACGGTGAAGTCATCAATAATTTGCGATATGCGAACGATACAGTACTCCTAGCTTCTAGTCAAGAAGATCTGCAAACACTACTTGATAGTGTCGTTGAGAGTTGTAGGGAGGCAGGTCTGGATCTGAATGTACGGAAAACCAAAAGTACTCGTAACAAGTAAACAACAGCATATAAAACCGTCTATACATGTAAATAATACCAAACTTGAGCAAGTTGATAAAATCGTTTACCTTGGACAGCAATTAAATTGTAACGCAGAAAGTCACGGCTAAATTAGATCTATGATAGAGCAGGCTAGAGCTGCTTTTAGAAGGATGTCCAATGTGTTATATAACAGAGACCTAAAATTTATCGTTGAGGATCCACCTACTTCGCTGCTGCGTATTTTCGGTCTTATTTTATGGTGTCAAGTCCTGAACTGTGAATAAAGTCGATCTAAATCGACTTGAGGCTTTGGAAATGTGGTGCTACAGAAGAATTTTAAAAGTTTCCTGGGTGGAGACAACCCACATTCGAAACTCTACAATACTAGAACGTCCCAGCAAGACTACTGAGATCATAAAAAGCATCAAGCAGAGAAAGCAGGAGTATTTCGGACATCTAATTAGAGGTCCCAAATATAGGTTGCTACAAAATATCATGCAAGGAAATGCATGCTATTTAGGGTGGCAGTGGTGAAATTAAGATAGCTATGATGGTAATGAACGTTCTGAAAGGATTTAGTACATGAAGAAGTAGAAGCCTTCGATACATCCATATTTCGAAACGAAGTTTATTTAACAGTGATTAGTGAGCGGCCCGTTTTCAACTCATTACAATAATGTTGAGAAGAAGTAATATTCGACGAGTTAAATTTTCAGTTTATTGTCTCCATCTCAAGTTTCTCCGTCAGTTTATACTCCTTCCAAATAATACTTTTTCATTCAAAAGAACACTGCTCCTGACCTTTTCAATATGGATTTTTATCTCTTGACTCATATCCCAAATTATCATTTATATTTGGACCGAGATAAATAATGTTTTTTTCTATTTCAGTATAACATTTATGTAGTCATCTATCGGTATTTTGCTGGCTACCACATATTTAATTTTAAAGTATTAAGTTTTAATGCAATTACTATTTTTATTGGGAATAAGCCACAATATTAAGTTTTAAGACGTATTATTCGCATTCTCTAGTAACTAAATCTTTCAAGTAATAACTGTGGTTCAAGCATTGACCTTTCCAATTTTCTCTGAGCTATTTACAACGTGTTAGAAGTTGTAGCTGTCGATGTCAAAGTTGCGGCACCATAGGTCATCACAGGCAATACACATTGGTCAAATGTTTTACGTTTTAAAGAAATTGGTATATCGCTTTTAAAGATGTCTTTAAGTTTTCCATACGCTACCCATGCTAGGTTTATTCTTCTTCGTAGTTCGCATGTTTGGTTGTCTCTTGTGATCTTTATTTCGTGTCCAAGGTATATGTATTTTTCCACCAGCTCTACTTCATTGTCTCCAATATTGATATTTTCGCGAGGTACTAGGTTTATCATAAATTTTGTTTTGGAGACGTTTAGACCTACACTGGCACACATTAACTGAAGTTCATTAGCATTGTACATATCTTCTTGAGGTTGTCCGAGAACAAAACTATTTCGTCTGTCAATTTCAAATTTGTTAATCTTTTACCGTCAATGTTTAGGCCTTTCTCTTCCCAGTTAAGCTTTTTACAAGCATATTCTAGTACTGTGGTAAACAATATATGCTATAAGGTATCACCCCGTCGGACTCCTCTGCCGATTGGGACATGATCCTTGTTTTTATGTAGTTTCACTGGCATAGTTACGTTATTGTATGTACGAGTATTGTAAATTAAACTTGTATATCGGTAGTCAATGGGGCATGGTTGTAGTGCTTCCAGAATTTTGTCAAATTCTACCGTATCAAAGGCTTGATGGAAATCTACAAAAGCCAGAAGGAGTGCTCAATTGTATAATTAATTCCTCCTTTATAATTAGATGGCGTTTATCACTACTTTTTTTAACTCTATTTTTAACTTGTAACACAATTTTTTTAATTCTAGAGAGTATACTTAAGAGAACGTCCTCATGATGTGCCAGATCAAGAAAAGTTTTTATGGTGGATTCCAGTAGTCCTCATTAGAGAAGATCATTTAAATTTTGCCAACTCAACTCCATTTACTTGGATGCGCCGAGAGCGGGATCTTATTTTAAATGACATGCCAGACAAAGATTCATTTATCATTATAAATCCAGAGGAGATAGGTACGTATTATAAGGTTATAATTTCTGTTCATTCAAACTAATAGCATCTTTGGACATTCACCACCCTCATGTAAATAGATATACACCTGTAGGAAGCATCTTACCTCTTTCCAAACTAGAGAAAGAATACTACGTTCCACTAAGCCAAAAGGTTCAGCTTCCATCCACTCATAACCGTCCTTATTATTTATTTCATCCTATCTTCTTTTTCCGTAGTAGTACGTTCTCCGCTGTATGTGCGAAGATAATCGTAAAACATATTGTTTATTTTATGAGCGTTAGAAATGTCGAAATTATTGGGGGTTTAGACATTGTGTAAATCATTTTATTTCTTATTGTAAATCTGTGACAAGAGAACACATATTATACATATATATATATATATATATATATATATATATATATATATATATATATATATGTATATATATATATACATATATATATATATATATATATATATATACAGTGTAGGTAAAAGTTTATGGTCGGTATGGTAAAATTTAACAGGATATCTAACGCAGACATAAAATCATATTTTCAGCGAATGGACAAAGATAACAATCATATTTCCCCTTGGTCTCCCCTCCTTAAATATTTTTAACACTCATTGCCCATTAGTGAGACGAATAGTTCCGATCAGAGATATTTTACATATTCTCTGGTTCCGATCCTAATATACCTAAAAAACTAGAGGTGGGTCCTCTCGTTTTTTAAATTTTTATCGGAACCGTTTTTCGTAAACTGTAACTAGTTTATTGTTTACCAGTATTCAAATTAGCGAGTACACAAACATATTGGCTATTATCATTTATGTGTATAAGTATTGAAGTGAAAGAACCTAACAAAGGAAATAGTTATTATAACTTGAAAAATAAATTAAGCAATACAAATAGTACTTACATTTACATTACACATTATTAAATCGCGAATCGTCTAAATTGACATTTAAAAATAGGTTTTTCCACTTTTCTTGTTAACCGTGTTCTTATTTTGTTTAAAATTAAACCAGATTTTAAACAAGTGTTGACAAGGAAAACATTTTGTTACAATACTACAATATTTTATGAATATAGTGGTTAAGTTAGGATATACATGGCGATGGTTTTTCCACCACGGTAATGGACAGTTCCAATCTCCGTTCGAATTTTTTTGTGAGTAATATATCATCAGACAAATACATGTCGACTTCTTTTATATCTCTCGGTTGTATGTTTAGATGAGTCGTGTCCAATTAATTCATCAAAAATACACCATGGACTTAAGTCATCTTTATCAGTTTCTTTTTCTTGTACTGGTTGATTTTCAAGATTTACTAAACTTATGCAAAGACTCGTTTCATCCGTTTTCCATAGGTGAAGAACCAGCTTTTAAAAAGTTTTCAGGGTGGATTCCTGGATATAAACCGCCGTCAAGAAAAACTGTCATTACTTCAGGAATGTTATGTCAAAACTGATTTGATAATAGATAAAATAAAAAGTCCTTTTTTCGACAATTCTGCAAAAAAACACATTTAAAAAAGTAACTTATCTTCAGAAAGGCTTTTAAAGTATTGATTACAACATAACAAAGTTCCCAAACGGCCAATCCAAAACGTGGAAACTAGGTAGAACTAGGTACACCTATTACATGTTAAAAAGAATGACCGAATTAGAAGAGGCAATCCGTTCCACATCGGTATTAAATAATACAGACCTAGACTTAGAACAAATCTAAATAAAGAACACTGGATTATTTGTTCTCAGCTGTCCCAAATTTTACAATGAGTGACCAAAAATACTTGAAGGGTAGTTCAGTGATTTTTATGGTACGCTGCCTGCAAGAATCTTGCAAGAAAATTTTAGCAAACGGTAACCTTACATCCATAGTATCCGACGTAGTACAATTACTAACAGAGTGGCACATTGTCATTATGTACATTTATGACTTCACCATTTAAAGTGCAGGGTTTTTCTGATAAAAATGAAGATAAAAAATAAAAGAAAAAGTTAAGAAGCTGGTTACTTCTATAATTAACGAACAAGAAGATTGTACTATTGAAAATCAACCAGTACAAGAAAAAGAAACCAATAAAGATGACTTAAATCCATGGTGTATTTTTGATCAATTAATTGAAGATGGCTCATCTACACGTACACCTGTATCGAGAGTCCATTACAACGGTGGAAAAACCATCGCCATGTATATCCTAACTTAACCACTATATTCATAAAGTATCGTAAATGTGAACACATGTTCAAAATCTGGTTTAATTTGAAATAAAAAAAGAAGACGGTTAATAAGAAGTAAAGTAGAAAAACTTATGTTTTTTAATGTCAATTTAGACTATTCGCGATTTAATAATAACGTGTAATGTAAATATAAGTACGATTTACTATTTGTATTGTTTAGTTTATTTTTCAAGTTATAATAAATATATCATTAGTTTCTTTCACTTCAATAAATATACACATAAACAATAATAGCCATTATGTTTGTGTATGTAGGTACTCTCTTACTAGAAACTACTTTTAAACAATCATAGTTACTTGTTTACAAAAATTTAAATTTTTAAATGGATTTATTTTTTTGGAATCCTGAGAAAACTAACAAATATTTTTGAAAAATTTAAATGCAGATTAAAATATTACATTATTACCGAGGGCCGAAAGTCCCTTGGAATAAACAAAAAGTTTTTTGAATGAGATATTTGAAATTAAAAATCACACTATTTTTTTTACCCCTATAACTTATTAAAATAAACATTATAGAAGTTTTCAGAGACTTTCGGACCTCGGTAATAATGTATTGTTTCATTCTGCGTTTAAATTTTTCAAAAATATTTATAGGTTTTCTCAGGATTCGAAAAAAATGAATGCATTTAAAAAATGTTGGCCCGAAATTTTGTGCCTACGCTCTTAACGATAAAACTACCACGACCCACCTCTACTACTCGTTACTCGGTGTTTTGACCAGACATTGCCAAATAATTATTGTGTATGAATCTTTTTTAATGTGGCGTTATTGTATGCAGTTTATTATTTCATATTGGGAATAAGGCACAATGTGACTTTAAAATAAGCTTATTTTGATGTTTAGATTTTTAATTCGGAAATCGTACTTAGAATACGAAACATTAATAAATTTTATTTATATAAAACGATTTCCGAAGTGAAAATCAAAATGTTATATTACACTTATTGTAAAGTAAACTTTTGGCATATTCCCAATAAAAAAACAGTAAGCTGCCATTTAAATCAATTTCGCCCAAATTTGATTATCTTAGAACATTGTTCAAATGCAGAAAAGACTACAGGTCAAATAAAACCAATAAGTTTGGCAATGTTGAACTTTCCCTTTTTATTATTTCCACGCATGCATTTTTGGCGATATAAAGGGCGGACCTAATGTACCTCTCTCTTTCTAAACAGCTGTTTCTTACCGTAAGGTCCATACCGACCATAAACTTTTCCTATTTATATATATATATATTTATATATATATATATATATATATATATATATATATATATATATATATATATATATATATATATATATATATATTATACATTCATCCAATGGCACCATATCCCAAGTTTGAACTTAGCCTCCTTCAGTAGTTTCCCCAAAGATCTCGTTTTACTGCTGTCTATTTGTCTACTGTCTATTTCTTTATTCATTTCTATATTCAGTATCCTCCGTATGTTTTTTTTTAACCGTCAAATGCATTGGCAGATTTCTGTGTTATGACCCATGTTTCACACCTGTAACTTACTATGAGTCAGATTATTGTTTTATGGACTATGACTTTTGTTTGCCATTGTTTTCTCGCGATTTGAATATGTAGTATTTGGCCTTTATTAGCGTACATAAACCTTTTATTATTTTCGGTCCTTCTTCATTATTTGCTCCAAGGTCCAAATAATAAATCTGACCACGTGTTCTATATACTATGTTCTACTTCTATGTCTTATATTCTAAGTACTTTGCAGCACATCAGCGCAGCATACAGCGGATTCGAAATCAGTTCTTCTCGAACAAAAAATTAAACTTTTATTGAGCATGGCTTGAATATGTTAAGAATTCTAACATTTATAACAAAGTATGAATTTTTAGGTCCTTTCCCAGTAAACTACGATGTGAAAAACTGGAACATGTTAGCCCAATATCTTTGTTCTGAGAAACGACAAACAATTCCTGTGTATACCAGAGCAAAACTTTTACACGACGCTTGGAATTTAGCTTACGCTGGAGATCTCAGTTTTGGCACTGCGTTAAACATGACTCTATTCCTAAAACATGAAAGAGAATATTTGGCTTGGGATCCTGTTTTTACATTGATTGATCACATTGGAAGACATATCGACAGCTCAGCAGTACATACAAAGTTCCAGGTAAGCTTTGACCAGTCATTAAAAACAAATCCTCTTCATTAAATCTCTTCTCTTCCTCAGTTAAATAGATATCATTTATTATTAGGCAAAATATGTTAATATTAAAATTAAGGTCATAATTATTTCTTCATCTCTTTGGTTTTTAGTTTCTACTTCCATGTAGTTTCTTTAATTTAATTATATGTAACCATTCTCACTATTAACGGTTTCCATATTATATTTAGACGGGGAACTAAATATAGATAATGGCAAATCTTGTTGTCAGTGAAAATAGATGCCTAGAAACAAGATCAATGGACCAGATATAAGCCCATAAATACCTAGGTCACAAAATTCGCATAGAAAAAGACAATCAAACCGTTCAGCTTTTCTGTCGTATACGAATGACTTTCGCAACCCTCGAGAAGTTGAACCACGCTTTCAAATTAACAAACTTTCCAATATGTCTTAAAAGAAAAACCTTTAATAATTATGTGTTGCCGGTATTGTCTTACAAAACGAAAACTTTGAACATGACATTTAGAACACTGCACAAAATTCGTGAGGCTTAAAGGGTGATGGAGCGTGGTATATTGGGCATTTCTCTATGAGACAAGATCCAAACCGCCAGCTGAGACAAAGATCAGTAGTGACTGATGATATAATAGAGAGAATAACAACACTGCAATGAAACGGCAGGTCACGTTGCTCGAATGACAAATAAAGGATCGATAAACCGGATACTGGAATGGAGACCAAGAGATGATACCTATTGAAGTAGAGATCGTCCACTAACATGATGGACTCAAGGTCTATACATATAACAGATGGAAAATTATGAGGACATGATATGGCCACTTGTCCAAACCTGGGCAAGGAAAGATTGAATTATTGATAGTGTACACAATTAATAAACTCATACAATGTTCAATCCTATTACTTTTAAATGACATAACCATTCATATTTTACAGACCTACGTTAGACTACTGCTAACACCTCTGTATGAAGAGTTGGGAAGCGAACCCCAAGAAGGCGAAAGTGAAGGTAGAGCACATCTAAGAAGTTCCTCTAAAATCTTTTTGTGTCAAGCTGGTTATAAACCACTCATCGAAGAAGCGCAGGCAGCGTTTAAAAAATGGATGGAATCCACGGACCCTGATGAAGGAAATCCGTAAGTTGGTTTATGTAAATATAATGTAGAATCGTGCTGGATATAAATATTCACATGAGGTAAAAAATGACATGAGATATATAAAAAAATACACTTAACATAAAAAACATAACCTATAAGTTAAAAGTAGAAAATTTTTATTATATTTTTAGAGCAGAAAAGTGACAATTTATCAAGTTAGTTGCTGTAATTCATCATCTTCTTAGCGGTAGTCTCGCACAGTTGCAGGGTCCAATGCTTTGATCTGTCTTCTCGATCAGCTCTCGTGGCTACGCATTACATATTTACACCAACTTATTCGATTTTCCTTTTCGATCTTGTTCATAATTGGCATAACTCCCACTCTTTTTCTGATATCTTCATTTTTAACGTGATCAAGGCGGGATATGTTTAACACCTATCGCAGCATTTTCATTTCCATGACATGCTAGCCTGTTTTGCTGTGGCCGGCTAACAATCTGTTCTATACATGGCCACTGGTCGGACAACGGTTTTGTATACTTTTGCCTGACTACTATACAACTAACGCGAATATAATCGTCTTGAACATACAAAATCGTTTTTTTTTTTTTTGCTTACGGACATACTCGTCATAGCCACTCAAGAGGTACATATTATTCTCACCATACCATATTTAAGAACGCGTTTTACCACTATAAGCTATTGTAAGATTCCTGTTCAATTCATAAACTGAACATATCATTGCTTTACTCCACAAAAGCGTAAGCAAGTTAGTTCCTGCTAGTTTAATCTAGCTTTATCAATTAATGTACGATTCATACTTTCAGATCATTTTTTAATGCTTTCAGCATTTCTTTAGCGATATTGGCAACTTGTATAATGTCTACATGCTTATCTATATAATGTCTACATGCTCTTAAGACACTGAACTATAATCGATTTTGCTTTTGCATTATCTTCTGTAAATTTTTTTCTTGCTGTTAGATCTAAATATTCAATCACTGATAAGACTTTTTTTTTTATTTAATAAGGTTTTAACTCGAAATTTCCAACTGTTGAAATTCTCTCCTGTGAAGAACGGGAAATGGTTGGCCTGTTAACATTCTTGAACGTAATCACTTTTACCTGCTTTTTACTCTTGCTATTTATAAAAGAGTCTTCTGAACCCATAACCTATTAAATGTTCAGTTTAAAAATGACTTAAATAAAGTCATTATTGATAAATAAGCATGATACATTTTTTTCTACATATCATTATCTCACTTACAAAAATAACGTTGATATAACTCATAATTACACAATAGCCAACATACATTAACTACTAACCTATATTTTTAACAGTGTATAATCGGTTTTTGTATTAACTCTTTCTTTTTATTTCCGGTTTTAAGTTTTGCAATAGCGATTACTCTTCTAAAAAGTCTCATTTCGCTAGCATGTCTAGTCTAATCTAAATAGTATTGTAAGATCTATCGATCGATTATATATACATTTCGCAGTTTTCCAACCCTTTATATTTATAAAATTATACATAGAGTAATATTGACCTTTGATTCAATATTTAGTTTTATGTTTTTATGAAACAAAAAAAAATATTTTTATGTTTTACAGTGTAGCAAATCAATACATTTGCCCAGTCTTCAAATGGGGTACAATGAAAGAATGGGAATTCGGTCTTGATCGAGTCATTAAATTCCCAACAACCAGAATACCAAGCGAACGAACGTATTTGTTAAAGACATTGGCTGGCTGTCCAAATGATGCACAAAAAATTGAAAAGCTGCTGACAATTACAGTTTTAGAACAAAATGGAAACTTTACAGATAATGACATTTATTTAATATTTAGTATGCTAACTGGAGGAGCTAATGGTTATACTACTCTATTTAACTTCTTAAAGAAAAACTGGGACTTAATTAAAATAAGGTAAGATAATACCTAATCAGATAAATAGAGAAAGTAAACTGAAATACATATTTCAGTTTACTTTCATTGGTATCAGGTTATATCATGTATATATTAAACGTTGATCATGTAGTATTAGCTCTTTTGTTGACATATTTTTCAATAATGACATGACAACCATACCGGTGTGACATTTTTAAATTCTGGTACCGTAAAACGGGTTTGTAGTTAACCGTTTTTCAACTTCAACTAAAGATATTTCCTAGAGAACAAAATAAAATGTATTATATATTTTTGTATAATATCTGTATAAGTCTTAAGTTTAATTTTAGTAGAAAAAACATGGGGTATTTTAAAAATAAATTGCTTGTTTGGTCAACTTCAATCCGAAAGGGATGAAGTTGATTGCCTATGGTTTTAGTCACTACGAATGAAAAAAAAATTATTTAAAATCCTTTATAAAAGGTATATAATAAAATAACCAAACAGGCTATATCACAATTACAAAACATTTTCGGAATCTATATTCCATCATTAGTGTAACTAAGTATACATGTTTTGAGCGACTAAAATATTTGGGTTAAACCCGTTAAATGTTGTTGGTTGAAACTTCTGTTACATTATATGTTCTTAAAAGTTGAGATGGGTAAGTTACCAATTCCACTGGTAACTTACGGCCTTTTATTTCCACCCATTTTCTGTAATATACTGGGACTCCGCTGTCGCCACTGTACAACTAGCGGGAGGTTATATCCCCTATTGTAACATCTGGAACTAGAAGGTGAGAGAATCTTTACCACTGTATAACGCTGTTACCACTGTAATATACTATTAATGAACCTTAAAGGATGCTTATCCCTGCGAGCGGCTGCAAAGAATACTGGTCCCACTAGTCTGGAGGGCTGGCTCGCCTTCGTGGATTTACGAGAAGGTAAGGAACTTCGGAATAGGGGTTGAGGACTTCTAGGTCTCAGGTCCTGTAAAGAGTTTGAGTCTATGGGCTTACTTTAGAAGTCGAATAAATGTATAAGCCGAAATTTGGTACTCTTCTGGTCTCTGTCTGAATCGGTCGGAAGGAACATAAAAACCAATTTTAGAATCTACAAATGTATTGAATACACTATGTGGTTTACAATTAAGTTAACAAGCTGTCAGATATAATTAATAATAAGTCGTTCGGCGCGAAGGGAGACGAGAAGAGATCTTAGCAAGAAAGTAAAGGGGTGACAATCTGTAATACTATAATTTACTCTTGTTAGTATATAGAATTTTGTTACCTTTCGCGTATTTAGGCTCTAGCTAATGATACGCCCTTCAGTTCCTCTGGAAATCGGATTTCTTTCAGTACCCGACACTTATACGAAACTATACCCCGTCGAAATATAACAATCGCGCGTAATCCACACCTGGTGCCGACTCTCGTATTAACAACCCTGCCCGAAGACACCGACTGCCCAACTCCTCTGTTCTTCTTGTTTTTTATTGAGCTCGTATTTTCAATGCCGGTTATAGTGCCAAGGTCGTGTTTTCGCTGAGTTGTAAGTCCTATGGTTTATTTGGGTCACGAGCGGTGTTATTTTTACAACAATAGCTTCTGTTTGACGTGCTTTTTCTACGTTTAAACAATTATCAAACAATGCACTAACTAGGTAAATTTCTTTGTATAATTTAAAATGTATACTTTACTGTATTAATTATCCCTTATTTGATTTGGAATATATAATAATCATTCAAAATGATTATTATTCTCCCCTATGCTACAAACCGTATTTTAATTCTTTACTTTCTTGCTATGTTTACATTACATTTCTTTTTGTATCGATTTGACTTAACCTGACTTTTTTCAGATTCGAGGACAAACCACAACTTTGGAATAGTCTCATTACTTCAGCGACCACCGTTTTCAAAACTCAGAAGGGTCTGGACATGGTATCAGAGCTTTATGTAGAACGGCAAAGCGAATTCGGCACAGCCGACTTTGTGATAGAGAGAGCAATACGAAATATTAAAGAAGAGACGAAGTGGAGTAACGAAAACTTACCTGTCATCGAAGCTTGGTTGGACCAATACATCAAAGATAATAAAAATAATGATAAGCAAAGAGTTTCATAATATTTTTTAAAAATTTTATAAACGTTATTGCTTGAACGGGTTATCATAGAGATATATTTATTGTAAACATAAGGTCTTCTAAAAGCAGGAGGTATGCATTAATCCAGAAGTTGTTAAACTCATTCTTCATGTCAGTCCGGACAGCATCAAACCACTTCCTTTGTGTTCTCCCTTTTTTGTTCTACCCTTGTTCTCCTGCTTGCAGAACTTTTTCAGACAAACAGACGTTTCTTTCTTTTCGCATTCGTAAAACATGTACTATCTAACTCTCTGTGTCCTGATTTTTGGTGTTATTTTGGATCTCTTATACATCTACATTAGTTCCTGGCTTGGTTTTATGCGCCATTTCCCGTTAATGCATTAATAATCAAAGTTTGCATAGTTTCTCCGTTATTTCTTAATTAGTATTCAAACACTTAACATTAACAAGACGGAATTTATGTTAATTACAAAGCCACTGAAGAAGGGATTGAGTAGAAAAAGATAAAAAATACATTAAAGTGATATTTAATAAAACGACAGCATCAAACCACTTCCTTCGTGGTCTCCCTCTTCTGTTCTTCTCTTGTTCTTAGTACATGTATTTCTTTTGACAATCGTAAAACATGTTCCAACCATATAACTATATGTGCCCTGATTTTCTGTGTTGTTTTGGGTCTCTTTTACATCTACATTAACTCCTGGCTTGTTTTTATGCGCCATCCCCGTTAGCATCGTTTATACAACCAAAAACTTGTCTTAAGATTTTGCGCTTCCAATTTTCTAATTTTTTTTCTTTGTTCTGATTGATTATCTAAGATTCACATGCATACAACAACGCCATTGGTCTCACTCTTATTAAATAAATTCCAATCTTGGCTGCTCTGGACACGTTTACCTTCAACAGTGTGTTTAACGATCCTACTGCTTTGCTACCGTTCAACAACCGTTTATCTATTTCTCTCTCTTAGCCTTCTCTATTTATAACTGTTACTCCAAAATACTCAAATTCTGTTACCTTCTCAAACTTATACTCTCCCTCATACGCCTTAAGAGTGATCCATTTATTTTCTTTTGCATTTTCCCCTTCCATTTCCATGTACGTGGTTTGTTCTTGATTTATACTCGGGCCATATTTTTTATCTTCTTCAAATTTTGTGAAAATTAGTTCAGAATCGTTCCGCTTGTATGAATTTTGGCTACTCTAATTATTTTTTTAGTACTACGTTGAATAATATAAATATTAATAAAAACTAGAGGCATTCGAAATGTGTATATAAAGGCGTATTCTTAAAATTTCTCGGACTGCAAAAGCCTCAAACAAAGAAGTGTTAAAACGAATTGGACATGGCAGAAAGCTTATGAACACAATTAAAATAAGAAACATGGTATCTGGAACACATACTTCAAAACGATAAATACTCACTTCTTCATCATGCTACTAAAAGTAAAGGGAAGAAAAGGGTTGGGAAAAGAGAAGAAATCTTGGCTGAGGAATATCACAGATTGGACTAACCTCAGTGTTGAACAGATATTTCATGTTGCAAAAGATAGTGAAGCGGGTAAAGAAGTGATCGAAAACTTTCGTTAGAAAACGATACAATAAAAAAAAAGGTTGAATAAATCTGCAGGCAAGTGGTCTCCTTGTTTTAATTCTCTATGGACGTTAAACCAATTTGAAAGATTTCCTTCTATCATGGATTTATTATTAGTATTTCTTTTATCATTTTAACTAATGGTATCAGTTTCTCTGGTATTCCCAGTGATCTCATTGCTGCGTAGTCTGTTTTGTGAGATGAAGTCTAGGTCTTTATCAATAAAAAGCATAAATATGTAAACATGGATTTTGTTCATAACTGTTAGTTTGATTCACCATAATGACGTAGCTAAATTGATAAAAAAAATAATGTATACTTTCAGTGAGGTTTATAAGGCATGAGCTGCTTGATCTTCCCACATTAATTTCTGATCTGCCAAATTTCATATATACCTATTTGCATCCATATTATTTTTTCTTCTTCCTCCTTCTTGTATGTAGGCTGTAAAGCCTGTTTCTTCTTCAATATTAGCCTCCTAAATTGTTTAAAATATCGCACCATCTTTTTCTTGGTCTGCCAACACTTCTTCGTTCATTTGGTGACTTATCTCGCGCTATTCGTACTATCCTATCCTCTGCTACTAATGTGTTCATTTCACTCCTGTTTCCGTTTTGTTGCCCATCAATCTATGGATGGGTGACAACGGACATTTTTTCCCTGATATTAGTCTGAGTATTTTCATCCCTGTTGTTTCTTGTAGTCGTCTAGTTTTAGATGTATCAGGTCTTGTCTCCGCTGTGTATGTTAATATAGGTATGATTGCTGCTTTATAGATTATTGTTTTTGTGTCTTGTCTTAGGTGTTTGTTCTTCCAGATTGTGTCATTAAGAGATCCCGCCGGTTGACTTGCTTTTAAGCTTGGTTGCCGTACTTCTTCTTCAACATCTCCGTCGCTAATTATATCTCCCAGATTTCTAAACATTTCGACTTTACATCGTAGTGGGTATTTAGATGTTGTCGTACATTTGGTTTTATCTATTTTATCATGTATTTCTTGGCTGTTGTATTGAAGATGTGTGTTAATCTTTGGAGCTCGTCTTCTGTCTAGGCGATTAATGTGGCGTCGTCTGCATAACCTAATATTTGGATTTGTTTGTTCCCCATTCTGTAATCATAACCTTTAAGTACTGCTTGTATTATTTCGTCCGTTATTATATTCCCTGTCTGACTCCGCTTTGTACTGATATACACTGTGTTAGTTTTCCATTTATCTTCTTTTTTTGCGTGAATTTATGGCTATCTCTTCTACTTCCTGAAAACTGATTTGTATTTCGTATCTTAATTCAGGTACATCATTATGTTGATTATTATTATTATTTGCCTTTCCTTTAAACAGTTCCGTAAGGTATCTTTCCCATTTGTTTGCTGGCATATTATTACAGTTGTACTGTATTAAACAGTTTTTGTAAACTGTTCCCAGTGTTCATTTTTTGTTCTTCTTACCAAGTGCTTTGTTTCATTCCGTATTCTTCTATAGGTGTCTCGGGATTATGGAGTATTTGACTCGTGTACTTCGTGTAGGTCTCTCGTTTTTCTTTATATTTCTCTTTTATTTATTTTGTCAACCATGGTGTATTGTTTTTGTTTCTTTTGTTCAGTATGACTTTGCGTTTCCCTAGAGTCTAGAGCTTCGGTTGCTGCTTCTTCAATGTTGTTTTTAATTCCTTATTCTTTGTATTTAGATATTTCAGGTACTTTTGTCTTGTATCTACCATTTCAGGATAAGAGATATTTTATATGTATCCCCTGACAAATAAAAATATTAATATTCAAAAGTATATGAATTATTAATTTTGAAGCAATATAATACTAACTATTAAAGATAAGAAGTAATTCAATATTATTACATATTATTTATCAACGAAATCAATGATAACAGATAAAGTTAATATTCTAGGCACCACGAGAAAATAAAATAAAACAGGTAAATATTTTTCTATGGATATTCCCGTATCAATTTTTTTATAAGATTTAATGAATTTAATAATTTAATGAATTTAATAATAGTAATGTATTTATTATTTAGTTTCGTAAATTGTTTTTAATATGTAGTAATTTTTTTATGTTGTAAGTTATTTTATGAATAAACGTTTAAATTAAACACCAATGTGACTTATCGTAAAAAAAGAAAAAACAACTTTTTTCATTTTTATTAAAAGGAAATGTATGTCTAATATTAGACAGGCCATTCACGTTCCGACTTTGGTCCCACTTAGTAGGACTACTAGTTGGATGTTCGTCTCCACTCACGCTCCGACTTCCTATCCAACTAGCGGTCCAACCAGTTCTAGGTTGTTTTCACGATGGTGTACAACGCTTAACCAAAAAATGTTTCGAATAAACACTACGCAAAATATAATTAGGAGGAGGAAAATGGCAGCATTGTGCTTGTTATCCTTATATGTATGTTTAAAAATTAGGTTTTGTTTCTCTAGTTATTTGTCTAGGGCTGAACTAATTAATTTTTTCAACCCTTGATTTTTATGACTTTTTAAGATGTAGGAAAAAATTATAGTTTTTAAAGATTTGTATAGGTATAAAATCTATATTTTATTTGTTTTAAACTGGAGTTGATTTATTTTGTTGTGTGTGTGTCGTATATTTTTAATAGGAATAATTTTTCGTGCAATTGAAAGTTATTTTCTATTATTTTTTTTTGCAGACTAGGGATCTTTCGCTACAACTATGATTTAATTTTCATTGCTTGTTGATAATTCTTCCGTAGCCAATCCGGAGTATCGGAAATTTACCTGTATGGGAATGTCCGAAATGATTTGCCCTAACAAAAAGGTAATTTTTGTGCAATTGAAAGTTTATTTTCTATTAAATATTCGCGAACTAGAGATCTTTGCGTAAAGTATTTTATGGAAATCTAATACGTAACAGGTGCCGAAGGTCAACGGACAGGAAATTTTCGATCCAACCTATGATCTGACTTCCAACTTCACCATTCACGCTCCGACTTCGTCGCCAGTCGGATCTTCAAGTCGTCCCAACTAGTTGTCCAACTAATCCAACTAGCCCACTCACGGTCCGATTTCAGATCCAACTACAAAAGTTGGACCACTAGTCGTACCACAAGTCGGAACGTGAATGACCTGCATTACTGATAATATTAGACATACATCACAAAAACTAGAGCGGCTAATTAGGCCTGTAAAGGAAAAAACGTTGAAAATGTTAAATAAATAGTCGTGAATAGGAGACAAACCTGTCTATGGTTGACAGAGCGACTGACATGTGTCAATGTCAACGTTTTCAAGATGGTATCGTAATGTAACCACTTTTAATTATGTATTTATGTATCACGTTTATTTGAGTTAGTATTACAATAAAATATCAACACATTCTTTTATTTTATATTAATCTATATAACATTGGTTATGGGCCCAGATTTACAAAGAGTGTGTTGATTAAGAAAAG